GTCTGTCCCCAAAACCGCTGCACGCCGCCGCGGCTGGATAGGGGGGGGGGGGGAGCAGTTTACCGCCGCCTTCCCAGCGGGGTCCGAGGCGTTCCTCTCGACGCTGTGACCGCCTGGGGGCCTCCCAGGACTGCCAGCGCCGGATTCATTGTAAATCGAGGCCTGCAGCTCTCGAATATATTTTAGGGCTGGAAAGTAAATACTTTCTACCATTGCCCTTTAGGTCTCCGCTTCTTCTTCTGACCTTCCAGTGTCTTCTGGGATCTTCGTGCTCTTCAGAGCACAGCCAGCACATCCTGCTCAGAAGGCAGGGCCGGTAAGACTGGGGATCAGAGGATAAGCCCCTCCCCTCTGGGATCAAAGTTTGCCGGCCCTGCCTATGGAAGGGGGAGGTGCTTTCCCAGGAGTAAGGAGTCAAGGACTGCCCCACTCCTGGACCACCGGAGAATGGTCTTACACTCCTCAAGAGTGAAAAGGGAAAAGTTATAATCCCTCAAGGGAAGTATTCAAATACAGGAAGAAAGTACTAACTTCCAGGAAACTAAAATAGTTATGAAACTTTATTAAGATACATTGTTGCTGAAAGAAATCTCCAAGACCAACAAACCTCTCACAGTCAAGAACCGAGTCTCTAAGAATATAAACTTCCATTATACTGTTGCCTGTTCAAAATATTCTAATTTGTATAATCTGTTGTTCAGTTACCTCAATTTCTCATCCCCTGACATATTCCTGATTCAACTGTGCCTGTTCAATAAAATCAACCTTTTTGTTTTAACTTTACTTCATATCAAGTACCATTTCCAAAGTGTTTCATAAGAGGGCTCCTGCTGAGTTACAATAAATCTCCGGCCTGGGCAAAAGCCAAATAACTTCATAAGGTGGGACACGCAGAAAGTTATATTTCTATAGTAGAAACACGCTAAGAGGCTGCTCAGTCAGAGTGAGGAACAGTGTTTTGGCAGGAAAATCTACCTCACAGAGAAAAAGAAGCAGGGGTCTGTCATAATAGACATCAGCAAAACTGTCATAACATTTATCAAAAATGCCATGAGTAAATGGAACACCAGGTTGATAGTGAATGGAGAATAAATTGGAACAGGTAATATCAAATGAGGAATTTTTCAAGGAGACTCACTATCACCTCTGCTTTCTGTCATTACCCTAATATCACTCACAATCATTCTCAACACCACAGGCCTACAATACCAGCTTTCAAAGACAGACCCAAAGATTTCACACTTATTGTATGTGGATGACTTGAAAAAGTATGGAGAGAAGAAGAGTTGGTTTTTATACTCCACTTTTCATTACCCGAAGGCGTCTCAAAGAGGCTTACAATTGCCTTTCCCTTCCTCTCCCCACAACAGACACCCTGTGAGGTAGGTGGGGCTGAGAGAGCTCTGAGAGAACTGCTCTTGAGAGAACAGCTCTGAGAGAACTGTGACTGACCCAAGGTCACACAGCTGGCTGCATGTGCAGAAGTGGGGAATCAAATCCGGTTCTCCAGATTACTCTACCACTCTTAACCACTACACCAAAGTCATCACCAGACATTCATTATTTACTAATAGAGTTTGAATATACAGCAAAGATATAGCAATGGAATTTGGCCTTGACAAGTGTGCAGCATTAATATTGAATAGAGGAACGATTGTTGAACAAGAAGAAATTAAGATGTCAAACAACAACAACATCAAAACACTGGGCTTTGAAGAAAACTACAGATATCTTGGAATTTTGGCAAAATTGAACATACCCTTGTTAAGATAAATTCAACAGAGTATTACCAAAGAGTTAAAAAGATATTGCAAAAAAAATTAAATGGAGGCAACATGGTAAAGGTAATGTGGACAATCCCAGTTTTAAAATACACAGCTGGGATTATCAATTGGAAACAAGTAGAATTAGAAGCAACAGATCACAAAACTCGCAAGATAATGATATTGCATCACTCACTACACCCTAGAAGTGATGTTGATCATCTTTACTCACCAAGAATATTAAGTGGAAGAAGTCTCCTGAAAGTTAAGCAAAGCATGTGAAGGGGAAAAAACGAGCACTGAATGTCTACACCAAGAAAAGCAAAAAAACCCTTCTATCTGAAACGTAGAAAGCAGATTTATTTAAGGTTACAGAAACCAAAGTAGATTACAAAGAGATTGAAATTAAAACTCGCTTTGACAACGGGAAGGAAAAGCACTTGCATGGGCAATATTTGAACGACATACAGAACAACGTTGATAGTGAAAACACCTGAAAGTGGCTCCAAAATGAGCATGAAGAAAGAAATGGAAGGAGTCATTGCGTTCCTAAAGTCAGATTAGGGCCACCAAGGAGGAAGAAAAGGAAGGGGAATGACAACATTGAACACACAGAGAGTACCAGGTTTTGGACTGAAACAGGCCACAATTTTATTGATTACAGCAGATGGAGCAGCAGATGGTGCAGCATAGGGCAGGATCCAAAACATCAGGTGACTTGCTTGTCGGCCGATGAACCCCATTCCCAGTTTGCCTGCTGGGGGGACTGGGAGTAGCAAGCAGTGGTCCTACAAAGGCACAGACGTCTGCGTAGAACCCTTGCCACCTGGGAGTGGAGCCAGGCAACTGCCCCTGAGCTGGGCATTCTGGGCACTGAGAAAGTAACACCAGCTCTAGAAGACTGTTGCTTGGATCAGCAAGAATCCTGCAAAGATACATCTGCAATTCCCAAGAACTTGGCTAGATCTTGAATTGCAGAAAACTATCTACCAGCCAAATATCTGACTATGACAATTCATCATCACCACCACCATCTGACTGGCTGTGCAAGTCAAATCAAAACTAAAGAAAAAAATCATATTTATACATCTCTTTGCAAGTGGTGGATGAGATATTGTAATAACCAAGCTAATATGGAACTAAGGTAGTGAGGCTCTAGTGTTCCAGTGATCTCTGTGGAAAGGAGCTAAATTTTGCTGAAATATAATAGCAGATAACCACATCTATGGAATATCGTGTACATTTCTTTCAGTGTGCTAAAATTAGCATATCAATAATTATCAGTGTGGAAAATGATGTAGAAAATCATTTCTTCTGATTTTCAGATAACTTCTGAAGAAGTGAGCTTCATGAAAGCTCATGCTGGAATAAACATTGTTAGCCTATAAGGTGCTTCTGGACTTCTGATTATTTGGCAACAACAGACTAACACGGCTACCAATGTGAAACACTTTTCAGTGTCTTCAGTTCTTTTTAAAAATTTAAACAATGTAAAGGAAAGACATGCTATATTGTTCTTATACATTTAAAATATTATTTCAATAAAAATAATGTCCACATTTTGCCTTGGATCCTGCCTAGGATTTTCATCTGCAGAGTATGACTTCTTTGTTGCCCTCTCTCACTGCAGCCCAAAACATTTCCCCAAAATGCTGCAACTGGGGAACCTTCACGGATAGTTTGGAAAGAGTTGAATGTCCACTGGGGGAGAGAGGAATCTCCCCTTTAGGCAAGATCCAACCCCAAGCTCTGAATTTTTCAATATAATGTTTAAGCCACAAAGTATTAGGGATTTTTTCCCTAATCATATATCAAAGTCCATGTATTTGCTGCTATTGGGCCAAAAAAAGTTAACAAATTGCACTTAAAAATTGTTTATTAAATGCATCAAAATAAATGTGTGTAAATCAGTTCAAGCTCTATTTGGGGCACTGGTTGATTTTCCAGAAAAATTTCCTATGTAAATTTTTCCAGGAAACAAAAAATCAATGGTGCCCCAAGCTTCTCTTTAAACTCCCCTGAATTGGGATATCCTAAATAAATAAAATAAATAAGTAAATACTACAAGATGGGTAGCCATGTTAGTCTGTCTGTAGCAGCAGAAAAGAGAAAGAGACCAGTAGCACCTTAAAGACTAGCAAAATTTGTGGCAGGGTATGAGCTTTCACAAGTCAGTTCAGAAGTAAATAGTAGTAATAGTTCAGGAATTTGGCACCAGAACTTTTTAAAGGCAATATGTGACTGATATGCCCATGACATTTTCCCTCTAATTTCTATTTTAAAACATTCTGGCATCAAACCATTTTAGAAATCCAAATGAATTTAAAGAGCAATTTGTTAGTTTTGCATGATCACCTTCCAAAGAGGAAATTCGGGCATGCATATGAATTGTGCATGTGCACCTCTCTGCATCTCAGTCAACACTTTTATTTGACTGGAGCACTGCTCCAGAAGAAACATGAAAACCATCCCCCTCAGGAAAAGGGACACAGGAAACTCATAAGAACTTAACCTGGAGGCACATGAAGAGAGTAAACAAACTGAAGCTCTTAGGTCAAGCATCAGCAATAGTGTGTGGTATTTTATTGGTTTTTCTGCAAACCCAGAGCAAAGCTCACACTAGAGAGACTGTGGACTTCCTCCAATAGCAAATCACACACCTTGTTGAAGACCCATATTTCTCCATTCACTGTTGGCCTGGGAACACCATGTCCATTGTAATGAAAAAGAACTCTTTCTTCCTTGGCATTTCGACGCAATGAGGTACACAGCTTCTTAACTTCATCTACTGTAGGGTCGAGGCTCTGCTTGTACCGGGCCTGGTTGATTAAAAAAAAAAAAGTTACTTGGATTTTTACATACACATTAATATTAACAGTAGTTCAAAACATGCAAGAAACAGGCATACATAACAAATCTGACACATTTAAACTATATTTTTACATTATCAAACATCTGAATAATCCCAAAAAGGTAATTTATAAATGTTCACAGGCTGTAAAAGCAACTCTCTCTTTATAATGCATAATCCATATACTAGTGTCGGAGGAACTATCTATAGTCCTGCAATGTTTGCAGAATAAGACCTTGCAACAGTTTAGACCCAGACAATAGGTCATTAAACATTAATGAAGGCAGAGGATTCCAGTATAACAACTTTTGTAAATGAAAGTTTATTGCAGCTTAAGCTACTAATTCATTTTAAATTCTCTAGGATTCTATGATTGGGATACACAGAGCTATGCAGATGGCTCATGTTAGTCCAGTCATTTCTTGACTTTTAAAACTTTTTTTTTGTAGGGCAGGAAGATGGATCCACCACCACCACCTACTCAGGGGTATACTTCTCTTGAATATGGAGAATCAATTTAGCTATTGTGTGGCAATCATTCTCACTGTTGGTAAGAAAATGCTGATATTTTCCATGAGAACCCGTACAGATGCATGACCCTCCACAGCCAATTCCAGTATTATTCCCCAATGGTTCCTCTAAACTCCACAGTGTTGTGAGCAAAAATTCTACCTCATGAGCGAAAAAAGCTAGTAGTGCTAAAGTTGTAAGCAAGTCTACATCTGACTATCACATAAATTGGTTTAGATTAATTCCATAAAAATAATTTAAACATTATAAGAAAAAACAAAATCTAATCAAATTTCATAACAGAAAGTGTTGTCCTCTATTGGGGTAGACTAGGCCTCCAAAGAATAGGTCTACCCTCCCCTTTCCACTATATTGGTAGACCTGGCCTCCAAAGAACAGGTCTACCCACCCCAGACACCTATATTGGTAGACCTGGCCTCAGACTGTTGCAAGTGCTGAGCCTTAGAAAACATACCAGCCCTTGGGGGGGGGGGGCGCGCTTGCAGTCTACTTTGGGTTTTTTTTAAGTGAAATATGACAAATTACAGGTCAAGTATAACAGAGGTGGAACAATCAGAACCCCGCCTAACGTAACAAACAGGAAGTTGCTTAAATGTTATCAACCTGCCCAAACTACTTATTTATTCAAATATTTATATCCCTCTTTTCCCGTGACAGACTGCTTACTAATCATACTGAAAAGCACAACAGGTGTGCAAAAACAAAACAAAACACCCACCTATTTTTTCCAGCTTCATGGGCCCCATAGGCTATAATGGAGAATTGATCTGGGGGTATCTGGGGCTCTGAGGGGCTGTTTTTTAAGGTAGAGGCACCAAATTTGCAGCATAGCTGCTGGTGCCTCTCCTCAAAACACGCCCCAAGTTTCAAAAAAATTGGACTGGGGGTCCAATTCCATGGGCCCCAGAAAGAGGTGCCCCATCCTCCAATGTTTCCAATGGAGGGAAAAATGCCTGAGCAGAAGTTTAAAATCCCTGAGCTGGCATCAAAAAAATTGTGGGCCAGCGCCCCCTAGCACAGTTTACAGGGAACTCATATTCCAACACCACCATTTCTCCTCTCATTTCCTGCTTCTATCTATATATGCACAACACTATTCGCTTTACATTATAGAATCATTCCAGTGATGGCAACAGTAACTAGGATCATAGTATGTCAGCGCCTCCTCTGATTTGCATCTATATACTAATATCAACATCAGCAAAATCACTGGATATGTAAATCTGGTGACTGGAGCTGTGAACGGGCAAGACAGATGTTTCTATAAACCTGAAAAGGGCTCCAGCTTTGCAGAAATATGTGAAATCTAACAAAATACCTTTGGGGGGTTAAAAAACCCAAAAATGGTAAAAGGAGCACCTGTAGCTTTAATTTTATTTATTTAGTTATTACATTTATAGCCTGCCCTCCCCACATAGCAGGCTCAGGGCAGGTTCCAAACAAATCAGTCTGCACACAGTGCAGATTTACAATTAAAATTTAAAACATATAAATCAATTAAGATTAAAATCTATAAACAATCTAGTATTGGATATACAGTATGCCTCAAAAAATGATGTTAACTCCAGCAATCTAGGATCTGTGGTCCCTGGAGGGGAGGCCATATCAGGTGGATGTCCACTGCCTCGACTGAAAGCCTGGCAGAAGATTCCCTCTCAGTGGCTGTTGTTAGACAACCACAGTATTCCAGGCTGGGTTTCTGAAGGGGGAAAAGGCAGGGGGAGAGGGCAGTGTACCTTCCAGGCCTATTTTGGCCTTTGAGGGAGGACTCATCAGGACCAGGCCACAGGGTGCCAGCTCCAGGTTGAGAAATTCCTGGAGATACTGTGGTAGAGTCTGAGGAGGGCAGCGTTTGGGGATGGGAAAGGCCTCAGCTGAATGTAATGCCACCCTCCAAAGCAGCCATTTCCTCCAGGGGGACAGATCTCTGTCATCTGGAGTCCAGCTGTAATTCTGGAAGACCTTCAGGTCCCACCTGAAAACTGGCAACCAGTTGCCTGGAAGCAACCTCTGAGTGACTTGACACCAACCGACTTGCATGACTCAACAAGGCCTGACTGCTTGTTACTCTTCAACAGCAGCCTCCCTATGAAAGCCAATGTGCTGTAGCGGTTAGAGCAGCAGTGTCAAACACATGGCCTGTGGGCTGGATCCAGCCCATCCAGGGCTCTTATCCAGGCCACAATCAACTGGTCATAATATTTATTGGCAGATGACAGAGGTCGTGCATTATGTATACTGCCCCACTGCTAAGAAGCAATGGGCAGTGGGAGGGTGGGCATCAGGGAGAGACTTAAAGGAAATACCAGAGCGTTTATTTGGGGGGGGGGGCAGCCCTGCCCCTTTGAGCCACACTTGCAAGCACCCTGGTCTTTCTCCATGCTGGGAGCCTTGACGCTGCAGTGCCAAACGTGAATGCTTTCCTGTCTCAGCTGCTTGCAAACTTCTGGGAGGTGGGGAGAGAGAAGCAGCCACCTTGCCTGGTAAACGAGAGGCAGGAACCGCAGCTGCTTCAAGTTCCATTTTGCAGGGAGAGGAAGTGAGCTATGTGGCCAGCCCACTCGGGCAGGGGGGCTGGGGGTCCTGGGGCTTGCACAGGGCAATGCGCAGTATCCTGTCCACTTGCCCTGCAGCCTCTTACTGCATGGCTGGAGGTGGAAGATGCACCTTGCCATCACCACTGCTGCTGCATCACACCATTGCGCTTGCTGGAGAGGAGGCAGCAGCCACGCATTTGCCTCCTGACCTGGTGGAAGGGACAGCCCTGGTGGAGCCCAGCTTAACTGCACTGCACCAGACACACCTCCCTTGCTCGGCCCTGCCAGTCCTCTGCCATGGGAAGCAGGGAGGAAGGCTGGCTGCTCCACGGATGCCCTAGGAGGGCCTGGCTCAGTGGATGGCACTGGGTCAAAGTTTAACTAGGCAGAGGCTGCCAGGGCAGGGGGAGAGGGACAGCTTAAGACAGTGGGGCAGATAAAGGTAGGTTAGCTGTTGGGTGGGAAGGAGATAGGGTTGCCAACTCCAGGTTTGGAAATTCCTAGAGATTTGGAGGGTGGAGCCTGGGGATGGCGGGGTTTGAGAAGGGGAGGGGCCTAAGAAGGGTATAATGCCATAGACTCCACCCCCCAAAAAGCAGCCATTTCCTCCAGGGGAACTACAATTGCCAGTCTCTAGATGGGGGCTAGGGATCCCCCAGAATTACAATTGCTACTCAGATGACAAAGATCAGTTCCCCTGGAGAAAATGGTTGTTTTGGATGGTGGACTCTGCGGCATTATACCCTGCTGAGGTGGCTTCCCTCCCCAAACCTCACCCTCCCAAGGCCCCACCCCCAAATCTCCAAGAATTTCCCAACCCAAAAGGATCTCTGTCATTGGAAAATTCATTGTCATTCCAAGAGGTCTCCAAGTTGCCAACCTTAGAATGAGAGAATGAAGCAGGAAAAGGGGAGAGGCTATGAGGCTTTCAGGAAAGGGAAAGAAGAAATAGTGGGGGAGGGAAAGTGAGCTACCTCCTGCAAGTCCTTGTGGATTCCCACTTGTTATCATCCATGTGCGCATCTCCTGGCTTTGAAAAGCTTTGGTTTTGCTACAGAACCACAGACTTGTTTGTCTTAAGCAAAGATCAGTGAGAAGTAATTGGCAAAAGAGTGACCTTTTGTATTGTGAAACTGACCCTAGCAACCTGGGGGCATCCTGGCAGAGAACTGGTTGTATGTTTTGTCATATCTTTTGGTTATTCTTTCCTAATTTTAAGTTGCACACCAAAGTCCACTGTCAATATCAAGGGCACCATATATTAGCAGACAAACAGCAAAACTGAGAGAATTTGCCAGAAATTGGTTGGAGATTTTCCAAACAAGACAGTATTGGTTCTGCTTGGATTTTATATATGAGTATCTACAGCCAAAAAAATAACAAGTTTATTAGTTATTGTTATCATTAAATGAGGAAATGTTTATGACCATTATTTGGCAGTCAGTGTCATGAAATGACCTATTACCATTACATTTACTGAAGGACTCAACTTCCTATCCTCCCCACACTTTGCTTCAAAATTATGTTTTTTCAAAGATTCTTCTAGAAAAGGTACTTAGTAATAAGATGTGGCCTTCATTAATAAGGGACAGATCTGTCATGAGTCTACTGTCATTAGCACACCCACCAAGTGTTACATCAATTACATCGGCCAGTTTGTTGATGAGTTAAATTCAAAGGACTGTTCTTGACCTTTATAACCATAAACACTATGTGCCCTAAGTACCCAGTGGACCACCACTTCCTATACCAACCTGCTGGGGTTCTGAGATCACGGAGGGGCCTAGCTGCAGGAATTCACCCTTTCACAGGTATGGCTGGGGGCAACCCACAGAAGGGCTCTCTTGGCACCATTTCCTAGACTATGGAGGTAAAACTGTCACCTGCATTGTCAACCTAC